ATTACATTTTTGGCCAACTCTGATATGTATCTATATATATGTATATATGTTTTTGTTTTTCAGAATCCAGGTTATGCTGGAAGACAAGAATTGCCTGAAAACTTAAAAGTCATGTTCAGAAGTGTGGCCATGATGGTACCAGACAGACAAGTAAAATTATATTTAATTTTTTTCTTATCTTTTCTTTTTTTCCTATGCTAGGTAACACTCAAGTTAAAAGACTTTAACAGTGGTTAATTTAATTTAACTCTTTCAATTACTTATATGCATTACATATTTTTTAGCAGTGATATTAATATGTTTTTGTAACCAGTTGCGAGTTCAGATAAATAATATGGAAGTGGATTGCAGACATAGTAATTACAAATTATTTTATTGTTTGCTTGCAGATCATTATGCGTGTGAAACTTGCCAGCTGTGGCTTTCAAGAAAATATTATTCTTGCTAGGAAGTTTTTTGTTTTATATAAGCTTTGTGAAGAACAATTGACAAAACAAGTAAGATATTCAATCAATTTAGACCTATCTTTCGGATTTTGAAATTATGATTTTTCTGTTGTAATTAGTCATTTTTGTTTTAAATTATATTTCTTTAGTAATTGTATACCACTGTATATAACTATTTTTTACTCCTAATATAAATCCATGGTTAAAATGTTTTTATTGCTTAAGAATCAAGAAATGTTTGATGCCAATTTGACGAGTTACTTTATAATGTGTTTTTGTTTCCATTAAACATATGTTTTTAAACTATGAGATTGCCCATCCCTCCTCCCTTCAAAAAATAGTTTATTTTCTGCTAGACTTTAGTTAGCTTTATTAAATAGATAGAAAGCAGCACTTTGTATTTAATATTCAGTTTTCAGAAGAAAATGCATTTTCTCAATAAATATAAGCAATAGAAGAATTCGATGTTTGTGTTGGTTACCTATGAACTGTATTATTCTGATTGAAAGTAAATACTTGGTCATATTCTTAGGTACATTATGATTTCGGTTTGAGAAATATTCTTTCAGTGTTAAGAACACTTGGAGCTCAAAAGCGATCCAGACCAGAAGAAAGTGAATCTTCCATTGTGATGAGTGTACTCAGCTCCATGAATGTTTCAAAATTGGTAATGCTGCCTTTTTGTAATAGTCCTTTTTTTTATAAATTTGTAATAGTATTTTTTTCGTGCACTCTCCTTTTCTCTAGAATAACTTGAAAATATATGTTTTCTTTGCAGGAAAAAATGTATCTCGAAATGTTTTTTTATTACTCTTAGGATCTTTTCTTCTCGGTACTGGCCACAATAAAAATTTTGATTGCCTCTCTAAACATTTCATTGTGTAAAAATAGTTTCAAGTCTTTTTTGCCAATTGTGCAACATTTGTGAAGAAATGGACGCAAACAATGTACTAGACTCGGGACACTTGCGGGAGTAATACTGGAGAGCTCGGCACACTATGAACAATTTATAGACTTGCTGTAGTTTCAGTTTTGTTGCTGCTGTCTCTCTTTCTTATTCTAATTTTATTGTTTAATTTTCTGTCTACAGTTGTCTTTTAATTTGCCATTAGAAATATTTAAAAAAATTAATTTATAATTCAAAAACAATTTTGAACATGGGGTAAGGTTCATAAGGAATACTTTTTATAAATATTGTGTATTGAATAAAAGTACAATACTCTAGTACTCAAAACATGTATAATGTTATTAAATTAAAAAATATTAAAAATTTGTTTATAACAAAATGAAATTGCTCTTTGGGTCTATAATAAGCATCAAGAACTACAATTTTGATTTGATCACATATGATACCTTTTTAAAACAGATCTGTCTGTGACTTAATCGTTATAATATTTTGTTTGATTTTAATCTGTATACATGACCAATTGTCATAATTTTTTTATTTGATTTGGATTAATTGGTGGTCCTCTGATAACTTGAGTGTAAATCATCAAGTAACATCACCATCACCCATTTTATGATGAAATCTATTACATAATTTTTTTTGCTCAGGTGGATGAAGATGAACCTTTATTTGTGAGTCTTATAAATGATCTTTTCCCTGGAATAACTAAAGAAGCTGTGGAATATGATGACTTGCAAACAGCGATTGCAAAGAATGTCAAGGAGGCTAATTTAATAAATCATCCACCTTGGAATCTCAAAGTGATACAGGCATGTTAAAAAATTCTTTATTTACAAATTCTCTTAAAGATTTATAATTTCTGATGTTTCATTTTGACCTTAGAATTTAAATCAATAGTTTCTCTGTTAATTATTTGACTCGTATGTTGTGAATTAAAATTTTCCTTATTTTTATATTCCCTTAATTTATTTCAGACATATTAGCATAGCTAAGGGGAAATGTTCTTAATGATTTCCTTTTTTGCAATATATATAAAGCATATGTATATGGTAATTATGAAAAATCTGATGTAACATACATTTGTTGATTATATTTAATATTTTAACTAGATACTAGAATAGACTATATTGTTATGCTTTTTTTATTATCAATAGCTTTTGACAAAATTTTCTCAGATCTTAATTCTACTTATCTGCCATGTAGAAGTGTATGAAAAATGATATCATATGTTACTTAATTATTACTATATTCTGTTGCAAGCTAATGAAAAAAAAACATTATCTTCATGGAGAGAACATGTTTGCATTTAAGTGCAAGCCAAATGGATGATAAGCTTTCAGCATGAAGGTACATCAATATCGCCAACTCTTAAAACGAAATTGCACAGCCCTCCTTAATCGTGTGAATTGAGAAAAATAAAACTTATTGAATTAAAACTAATGTTTTGTTAATAAGAATCAATAAAAATGGTAACTAAAAATCATGACAAATATATGCCTTTCTGTTCGCATTTAAAGAAACTGATGAAAGAATCGTAAATATTTTTTCTTGCAGACGATTTTTATTCTACAGCGAAACATAAGTAAAAAATTCTTTATTTCGCATTTGATTTGTTAAGGACAAGCATAAGACACACCATTTTTAGTGGTTCAATCAAGTCCAATGCGTTTGCAGCGTTATATAGTTGTATTGGAGTATGTCGCCATGTCTAGGACTCCAGTAAGACCCCTTTTTTTAATAATTCTATGATATATATCGTAAAAGATAGCATGAATTAAATTTCTGTCCAACAAGTTTAGCCTTGAAAAGCTATATATTGTTTTGAAAGCATATTTATATAGCTTGATAACTAAATAAAACAGAACTACACACAGTCGCGGATGATTACTTAATTCATATACTGCAATGGTCTTTTCTTAACTTTCAACGGAGTATGGACTGTCTTTGTTGTTGCTCTGGGATAAGTTCCTTTAATAATGTGTTCATTAGCTAAGGATGAACAAGCTTGTAATCCATTTTTTGTACAACATCACTACCTATTTTGAATCTTTCAAGCGAAAAAGTTATCTATAGAATTTCAATTGCTAATTTCAGCTTTATGAAACACAAATGGTAAGACATGGAATGATGGCACTGGGACCCAGTGGAGCTGGTAAAACATGTTGCATAAGAATTCTGATGAAGGCCATGACAGACTGTGGAGCTGTTCACAAAGAGATGAGAATGAATCCTAAAGCAATCACCGCAGCACAAATGTTTGGCCGACTAGATGTAGCCACAAACGACTGGACAGATGGTATTTTTTCAACCCTCTGGAGACGTACTTTAAAAACTAAAAAAGGTTATTATATTTCAAAAATAATAATTCGGAAAATATATTGAATTTGTAAATTTTTGCTTTCGCTCATTTCTTTACGCTTTTTTATGATTGTCTTTATCATTTAAAAATAGCTTTTACAGTTTTAACTTTAAAATAATAATTAATTTTTTAAAATTAATACAATGGAAAGTTCCTTACCTGGAATCCTCAAAACTTGCAAGTTTGAAAATAGATTTGTCCAGATGATAGGTTATTTAAGTAAACAAACATCATAACATACGTTATTAAAATAATAACAAATTGACAATAATTAATGTCAATTTCGTTTCTTTTTGGTTAATAAAATAAATAACTGTGAGTAGGCAATAATTTGAGTTTTCTCTTTCACGAGTAAAAACTGAACACATATTTTTCTCCTTTGTTTTTCTCCTTTTGATATAAATAATTAACTAGCAGATAATCAAATAAAAATAACATTAAAGTAAAAGCTTTATATTCCAAAAGTAAATTAATTCAATTTAATAAAAAAAGTAATATAAAACACTGAACAAACAGGGATTTTGTTAATAAATTCATAGTTTATTCCTCTCAACCACTCTTTTAGTGTGCTTATTGAAGAAGAATAAATATTTAGGTATTTGAAAAGCAGATGGAAAATTCATTTAAAC